TGAGTGTGGTAGAGCGTGGCTGAATAAAGAATGAGTATTTTAAAATGGTTAAAAAATGCTGCATTTGCACTATGAAGGATGTTTTATTTAACAAGACTTAACCTAACTGAACTTAACATTATATGTCACGTGACTATATCTCATTGCGCATGCAAAGAGAGAGAAAACTACATGGCTCCTGCTTTCTATCCTTTTCCAGCTGATCTTCTCATCAAAGTAGAGAACATGCTCGGTCTATTTTTACTATGTCTTTGTTTATTATGACTACTAAACTTTAACTTTTTATGAGACTGTACAACCCACTACCGTTTACTGTACACGAGCAATATAGTTTAGAAAAGAACAAAGATACAACTTGGAACGCTCTCTCTCGGATCACTTTTAACAAAGACGGAATAAAACTGCGCGCATTCCAGTAGTATTATATTTCAATGGGTGTATTAGATCATCCATTCTTCATCCAGATTTTTTTTAATGAGTAATGATTGAAAGATATATATAGGGAAGAGAATTTTATTATTAAAGCCTATCTAAATTATCTAACGTTGACATTTCGATTTTCTGGAAACTACTACAAATAGGGTAAATCTAACAATGAATTCAAGCCTAAAATTTTTAATAAGATCGTTAAAAAAGTAGAGAGTATCATTGGATAGCAGTGGTGCACATTTGGCTCCCCGGCAACACGGAAAACCGCCCCACCACTTTGCCGCTGCGCGAGAGCGAGCGAGACAGCGAGTCTCACTGTCTCGCTCGCTCTCGCGCAACGGCAAAGTGGTGGGGCGGTTTTCCGTGTTGCCGGGGAGTCAAATGTGCATCACTGTTGGATAGGTCTATTAAAAATAAACAACTTTTGCTTAAACTTTTTTTACATCACTTACAATTTATGAGAAAAATAAGGAAATATCACAGATTATGAGTCATTCATTTGTTCGGAAAAAGTTATTAGGAGTTAAAATTAAAATTTAAAACCATAATTCTAAAGTCTAAGTGATGAATTAGATGATAGTATTTGTAAGAAATCCATCTACTAATAACTAATAAGAAATTATATTTTTTGTTAACGATAAAAGTGATTAAAGACCTTTTTATTTAAAAATATTTCTTTTTTCAATAGATTTATTCAATGATAAATATTTCTTATTTATCTGTTTTAATTATAAATTTCGCTATAGTTTTCCCTAAAAAATTTCCACTCTTTATTCCTAATATTACCATTTAATCACCATTTCCTCATCATATAGGATTTGGTCTTAAAAGTTTTAATCTAAACTCCCAATAACTTTTGTCTGGACAAATGGATGACTCATAGTCTGTAACATTTCTTTTCTCGTAAATCAAAAGACTGATGTCCAAAAGCGATATCAAAAGAGTTTAAGCAAAAGTTGTTTGTTTTCCTACAGTACTCTACCCGAATTATAATTCTATTAAACATTTTAAACTCGACCCAGACTTACTCTACTTGCGATAGTTCCAAAAAACCAAAATATCTCCGTTAGATAGCTTAGATAAGTTTTGGTAATAAACATTTTCTTCAACTTTCGATCACTACCTATTTCCGAGAAAAAATTATGGTCAGGATGGTCTGATACATCCTATACACATATATGTAGGGTAGAATCGGGTATTGGTGAGCACTGCAGGTAATACGAGCATCCTTTATATTGTATTTCTGTAATGGTTAATACTGGTAGTGTCAACTGTGTTGTAAAAAGATGCATCTGTCTTCGCGACATTCCAATATACTGTAAAGTTTGATCTAAATTTATGTACTTCGGATGATATTTATCATATTAAAGCAGATACGTTATTTTCTCTCTCTCTCTCTCTCTCTCTCTCTCTCTCTCTCTCTCTCTTTCTCTCTTACGTTTTTTCCTTTAACTTTATAAGATCTCTAATCTATATTTTGTTCTGCATATTAATATTTATAAAGTAAACAATATTGAGCCATTCTAATTTCATAAAGTCCCGAGAACATTATTGATTTATTAGACTCGGAAGTTTTTCAGATAGGTATGCATAATCGTTTATTATGAGCATCTTCATTATTCCTTATAGAACACTGAAAAAGTCTGACGAGGGGTCAACCACTATGGCAATCAGTGTACATTTCTTTATAAATATATTGCGACAGTATAGTAATAAAACAGGCAATGCTAGCAGTAACAGTATTAGCAATACGCTAACAATATTGCTAGCAATACATAGTAGTACATAGTAGTACATAACAATACATTAGCAATACTTGGCAATATTGCGCGCGATAAGTGACAATACATAGGAAAACGATATTAACAATACAATAACAATACTAGCCATAAAGTGTCTGTGATTATTACCACAATTAGCAATCATTGTACATTTTTTTAGTAGTAATTGATCCCTTCAGAGTCTGGTAATAGTTATTAAATGTATGGTGAAATAAACCAATCAAATGTTTGGTTAATATAACGAATAATAATATTACTTTTACAAGTATTATAATATATTTAATAAGTATTACCAAATTATTACCATTTAGTAATATTTATTAAATATTTGTAAATGTAACATTATTTTTGGTTATATTAATCAAACATTTGATTGGCATTTGTTCTAATAAAATGTTTCGTATATACGAGGTGTGATCAAAAAGTAAGATGACTTTTTGAATTTCGCGCGCTCTGTACTCTAATTTCAAAATTTTTTTTTTGTTGTGTTGGTACACTCGTCACGATCATATGTTCACAGTTTTGACTATATAGCATGTGTTGTTTTTATGTGA